TAGGGTATTCTCCACCATGTATTTTGAAGTGCTTTGTACAGTGTAACGTCCGAGGAATGAGAAATTGGGTCCACATTTTCTCTGTGGAAACTATTCCAGAGTCAGAATTAATCCCAGTCTGCACGGTGTGGGTGATGGAAAGCACTTCAGAGCCCAATAACCACATCAAGAAGACCCAGGATGCCTTTGCTGCATCTGGCAGCATCAATTAAGACCTCTTCCTCCCAGGCCCTACTAAATCCATGCCTGTTGCTTAATGGAGCAAGAAAGACTTGTAAGAAGTATCCTTCACTGCAAGAGGATTCTCTCCAATGCACCAAAACGTGCAAGCTGCTGTTAAATATCCAGGACACTGGCTGACAGGGGGTTGCTCTGAACATCAATTTATCTGGGATTTTTAACGTACATGGATTTTTTTCATTTTTGGAAGATTTACAACAACAGTTTCTTCAGAAACATTGTACGACATTCCCATTGATGGTGTTCTGAAAACTTCAACCATCAGAATCCGAGTCCACTGGCTTTACCCTGAAGGCTATGGGGTTGGCAGGACACCCCCTGTTTTGTAGCACAGCAGCACTTACTGCGCATACACCTTGTGGAGTTTTGAGTACTGAGAACTCCAGCAAAGACGCATGGCTGAGTAATGTGCTAGTGTGATAGAGATGCCACAGAAGAGCAACAGGATTAGCTGGCCTTTGGCAAAGATAAATATGATTCTGTATAATGAATTTGATCAGAGGTAGCAAAGCAAGCAGCGGCATCAGAGGGAGAGGGGCTTTCCTGGGGCATGTCAGTTATGGGGTACCCTAGAGGGACAGGCAGCATCCCTGCACATGGCATGGGGGCCCTCTTGTGGGCCCTGGTGTCTTCCATGGACCCCACTAAAAACTACCATTGTGCTGCCTGAGAAGGGATTAACATTATTGTTTAATTAGGAGAAGGGCTATTCAGACTCCAATCCCAGCTGCTGCAGAGGGCACAATGAGAGCACACAAACAACAGCCTGTGTGGCTCCAAGTTTTTCAGGTAGGACGTATGTTTTTCTCAACTAATTCAGAAATTATTGGAAAGACACAGCAGTTGAGTTTACTTGGCTGACTAGACAAGTTGCATCTTGGGTACAGCAATGCTGTAAAATACTGAGATCACGTTTTTTTGCTTTTCCACACATACATTTTTAACTCCCAGTGAAGTGTAGCCCAACTCACCTTTGTCCAGCCCACCTCTTCTTGACATCTCCCATCCCACACACATCATTTGCAGTCATTGATAATTACAGTCGTTGCCCACAGCGCTCAGGAGATGAGCACATCAACACCCTTCATTTCTTTGCTTTTCAGCCAGTGAGGTTATTGGGAGCTGGTGGATATATACAGTTGTTGAACCTGATCATCTCATATTAAGCTCTTAGTGTGGACACAAATTAATGTGAGAGGACAGATTTTTACGACCTCCATGCCTCAAGGAATAGCATGGGAACCATGTACTGTTTCTAACTATATTCAGTGTGAAATAATTATGCAAACTTCAAACTAAAAAATTCCCCAAGCGCTCAAGACGTGGATTCTGCAAGACCATGCAAAGTATGTCTGCCAAGGTGAGCAGAACCTCCTCTAAACAACCCAAGTAAAGATAATTTCTTGCAAAGCCACCCTCCTCCTCAAGCAGTGGAGGTGTCTAGCAGCTGCAATAGAGAGGTGCTGGTCCCAGCAAAGCACAAACACTTCCTGACAAGCCACCTCTCTTCCCTGGGGGTTAGTTGCAGCCCTCCAATGTGACAGTGAGTATTTGTGCTCTCTGTCTGTTCAGAACAAGTACGTCCCTCGTAGGCATCCTACCCAGTCTGCCAGAACAGAGACACACCTCGATTTCCAAGGGCAATCCTCTTCACCTCAGTGGGATGAAGATGAAGGGAGTAAATTATGACAAACAGAGCCCTGGCCAGCTGAGTCTGAAAAAACGTTTGCGACAGCGGATTGGTGTCACTGCCAAGCTATACCTCCTCCGCTGGGGGAAAGAAATTTCTGCCCATTGCAGTGATGATATAGCTGGAAACTCTGAGAGATTAGTAATAACTTCCTCCAGAAAAGTTTGTTTGCTTCCCAGAGAAGACTAAGGGATTAAAAAAATGCAACCAAAGAACCCACCAGCACCACCCTATCCCACAAATATAGGGCATTTACATTTTTAACCACAGCATTATAGGATTAAAAAAATGCAACCAAAAAAAGGGCATTTACATTTTTAACCACAGCATTATACCGATGTAAGTTTTCACTCTGAAATATAGGATTTCAGTTTTTTATTAAGAAGTCCCCTGCAGTCTCATTGGAGCAGAAAGGGACAGGAAGGTAGAGGTCTATATTCTGTTCAGGTTACCCTGGGCAGCTGATCAATTCTTCTGGACAGGCACTTGATGTAAATCAAGGTGGAATTTAAGCAATAGATCAGGTCTCTAGCCAGGCTTATAATTACGAGAAATAGATCCCTCACAGGGAATACAGAAATTTCATGAATGCTTTCCAGCTACATCATGATCCTGGTGTGCTTTCAAGCATAAATTTGCCCTGGCACACAAAGGCATGGAGACAATTAACTATGTCTTTTCTGGTCAGCCACTTTCTACATTTGTTCTTAATAGTTTTAATAATAAATTATTTCACTGTCTCAGCCTGTCTTGTCTACTTAGCTCTACTTGTTTTACATATGGACTGCCTCTTGCCATGTTCAGTGTGGAGCATAATGAAGTCTCGAGTGGAATTTATAGAGCAGAGACTGCTACCAAGTGTTTGGAGATACACCTTTGTAATGGTGTGAAACTGAACATGCCAACTTTAAACATCTTTTGTGGTTTCCCTGTCCACCAGAGACACAGTTTTTGGGGTTTAAATTCTAATTATTTTTTAATCAATTCTTTCAAATCCTTTGGCAAGTTTCTCTGTTTATACCCTACAAACACTTTGAAAATAAAATTACGTTTGTCCTGAATAATGTTAACAAAAGAAACAAAAATTATTAGTCCTCTAGATGGTGCTACTATTTCAAATAAAGCAGCTGGATGCTTGAAGATTTTGTTGAAATAGACTGCTGTAGTAGCCTATAAGAAAGAAGCACTGTGAGAAATCCTGATCCCAGTAAAAGAACTGATGTCAAACAAACTTCATCTAAGTGTCAGCAGTGAAGGGCAGTTCGTATGTAAATATACTAATTGCTTCTCTTTAAGAATAGTGAATGTTTCAGTATCTTACTAAATGCAGAAGAATTGCAGGATGTATTGATGAAAATTATCTTTCAAAGGCTGGCTCAATTTTATATGTCTTTGATTTCCAGTTTTCCCAGTAATTAGCTGCTGATGTCACCAGCATATCACTTTTCAACTTCAGTGACTCCCATGAATGTTCTCTGTCCACAGCCTTTGGATGCATCACAGGCCAAGCATGACGGGTTTCCCTGGCAAAGGCTGCGCATTCTGCCCTGATTTCACAGCAGCTTTAGCACCACTGTACTTCAAACGCACTCAAAGGAACAGTGCACATGCTCAGACTGAAACCCATGGTTAAAAACCTTCCTGGCTTAAAGATACTTGTATATGCACACTGTACTTGTGCTTTAAAGGCTGTTAAGTCTAAGTGCTTTAGTGATACATAACAAGGAAAGAAGGTAAAACAATTTACCTTTTCTTGCCCAACACAGCTGCACAGCTCCAGCACTTGAAATATTGGGCTAGCTGTCTCTGAGACAAATTTTCTTAATTTAGGTCCTTTCTGTCCAGCCACTTTTCAAGAGGATGCCAAAGTTCCTCCTATTCTTTCCTCTCTTTCCAGGGCTCCTATCTGTAGTTTGGTAACATCTGCCTATTTTGTCTCCAGATATTTTTCCTGATTCTCTTTGTAAATCTGGCCAGATGGATTTACAGCACCAGATTTCTTTCCTCCTGTTGTTGCTGTCAAAGTCAAGAACAAAAACTTTCTGATTTCCAGATTATTATTGTTATACATTATTATACATCTGACCTTTGAAATGTATATTCTCTATAACCACTATCTCTTACTTTGTGCAAAGTTCATCTGTTATCTAAATAAATGTCAAATTTGGGATCTTGTTAAGCCTTTAGCCTTGGTAACAATAACTCTGAATTCTGGAGTTTACTCAGACAGAGTAAGAGAAACATTTATTTCATTGATTTTGACTATTCAACCTTTAAAATTTCACAGAGTATATTTGTTCTTGTGTTATGAGAAAAGAATAACAACATCTCTAGATCATTCATTATTTTCTATTCTTTCACTGTGTCCCCATTTATTTATCTCCTTTCCAAGAAACTTTCCTCACATGAACATATCTCTGGGCTCTTGGCGATTTTTAGTGCTCTTTTATGAGTCCCTCTCTAGTTTCATAATAGTTTTGTTGGTTAGTTTTTGAGGCTGCGAAGCCACAAAATCAGGGCCTGTAGCTGTTCACAGAAATACTTTTTAAGATAAAGAGAATCTAAAAGCAGAGAGAAGGTAGGAAATACACTATGTTCAGGGTGTAGAGTGATAACAATTTTCCTGTAGTTTCTTTTGTTATTTTCATATTATGAACAGAATATCCACCATCACTGGCCACTTGCAAGAACCTGCAAAACTTAGTGAAGCTCCTGTGAACTACCAATGCAAATGTCAGCTCAGATCTCCAAAATGCACAAGAGAACTTTCAAAGAGTAAAACAAGTGGATGAAGACTAGGAAAAAATATGTACTGAAAACTGGCTACCTTACAGACAGCCCTGAAGTGTGGGAAATTTCAATGGATTCATTTGTAACACAAAACAAAAAAAAAAAGAAACCCAACTATGGGAATTCTTTCTAACACTTCATGAGACACCCGAGATGCAAATATCTAGCCAAATAAATATAAAACAAGTAGTATAGACAGTTTATTACAGATTTATATTAAAAATAACCATGAAAACATGAACTTAAACAACAACTAGTTTATTTAGCATACTTAGTGAATCCTTGCACACAGCAATTTCTTAAATCCTCTGACCTTTTTTCATAAATCCCTGTCTTTTTCAGTAAAGTGCTCTAATTGTCCTGCTTGTGACGACCAACAGGCAATTAGAACTAACCTTCTTCTTAAAAATAAAATAAGATTAGACTGACTTTGGAATTGACTCCTTCAATGTCTCAGAATCTTCTGGCTCATAATAAGGTTCCAAAATAGGTTTTAATTTTACTTCTTCTGGTAGTTTATGAGTCTCTTCTCTCCTGCTTCCATCTCTTAAAAGCGGAACCAACGTTTTCCAGTTTTTCCCTGAAACTAAAAAGGAAAGGAACAAAAGAAAATATACAAGTGGTTTAAATACAAAGCTGTTGAAAGAAGAAGAAAGAAGCAGGAAGAAAGGACTTTGTGGTTTTTTCCCCCATACTGTTCCATAAGTTTTCCATATTTCCACTGACGAGTACAGCAGAGACTGATTGTACAGTTACACACTTCTGTGCTGGATGCTGAGCTCCCAAACTATAGGGTTTGGGGCCTCCAAAGTAACTTCTTGGCTATTTGGCTGCCATCATACACTGTTTCATCTCCTTGGGATTTACACATATTATCTGCCTTGTAAAATCTACAATCAGGATGATGAAGCTATGGGGCTTCTATTCCAGAGAGTAAAATTGCTACGTGAATAATGAGCCTACTTAATCCTTTACATTTTGTGCTGATTGAGAACACCATTAACTTGGCTACTGCCATTATCATTAAGTGCATAAAACTGACTGCCCTCTAACAATTAATCGATGCTGCTTCCATCACCAGTGTGTAGCCCATACTAGGATTTAAGTCCCTGAAACCCTCACCTCTGCCAGGCTTAATAGAGTAACTGGGATTTCGTTTGAGGTCCCCGGAGTACCCAGGGTCTTCGTTGATTATGCCCAGATTAGTATTCCACGTGGACCAGTTCACTTCATCAACCCTGAGGAGAGAGCAACAAAATGAGCATCTAGTCTAAGGATCACCAAACAACTCCAGGATGAGTTTATATCACAAACTCTCAACCTCAGATCTGACACAGAAAACAGATTAAACTGACTACTGCGGACAGTGTTAGTGCACTCAGAGAAGCACTCCAAAGGTGAAGTTTTGCTTCCCTTTACCAGATACTTGAATGTTATTTGTCTATAAAAGATTGCTCATTTGACATACAAACAGCTTACCTAAAGCACCATCTGTAATCATCTTGGCCATCAGGTGTGACCCCCACCAAGACTCGCTTACCAGACCGGAACGAGCGCCTCACACAGTTCAAGTAGCTGTTTTCAATATCCAAGGTTGTGATGGCTCTCTGCCAGGTAAAAGAAATCAGACCACTGAGAAGTTGTTTCAAAGTCATACAGATCCTGAATTCTGCCTATGTTTCAAAAACCTTGAGCTTTTATCACTGTCACCATTTTAGAGCAGGTATCGTAACCACCTCTGAAACATCACCCTCTGTTAATATGTCATTAAAAAACTGAATTACTGCCTGTACTTAGAACTATGAAGTTCCCTTTCTTACTTCAATTGCGGACAGTGTTAGTGCACTCAGAGGAGTGCTCCAAGGGTAAAGTTCTGCTTCCCTTTACCAGATACTTGAATGTTGTTTGTCTATAAAAGATTGCTCATTTGACATACAAACAGCTTACCTAAAGCACCATCTGTAATCATCTTGGCCGTCAGGTGTGACCCCCACCAAGACTCTCTTACCAGACCGGAACGAGCGCCTCACACAGTTCAAGTAGCTGTTTTCAATATCCAAGGTTGTGATGGCTCTCTGCCAGGTAAAAGAAATCAGACCACTGAGAAGTTGTTTCAAAGTCATACAGATCCTGAATTCTGCCTATGTTTCAAAAACCTTGAGCTTTTATCACTGTCACCATTTTAGAGCAGGTATCGTAACCACCTCTGAAACATCACCCTCTGTTAATATGTCATTAAAAAACTGAATTACTGCCTGTACTTAGAACTATGAAGTTCCCTTTCTTACTTCAAACGAAAAGCGATGTTCCTTTGAGATTCTGGTAAAGAGTGTTTTCCCCCTTGCATAATCCCTGTCTCCATAGTCTGACCAGGACTTTCCACCACTGAAACCCCAAGTAATTCTGTCTAATTAGAAAAGTACTACTTTTCTTAAATTCTGAACATCTGTGGAACACTGGGAACATCTGCTCAGGCAAAACATCAAACATGCACGGAAAAAGAACCAATACACTTTTTTAAGGAACTGTTCAGGGGAATCAGAAGGAAGCAGTGACTTGTTATTTAGAATGTTCCTGAACATTCTCTCTGAAATTTATGATTCTCCATACCCTTTCTTGGATAGCAGCCTCACAGAACGAATATACCTGGAGTTTCCAGATGCTCTTGCTCTCCTGTGCAATTTTGCTCACAGTTTCCCCCATCAGTGCAATCAGCATGTTGAGCAGGAGGATGTAGGTAAGGATGACATAGAGAACCAGAAGGATGACGAACACAGACTTGAACCTGTAGTTCTCTGTGAACTCCAGGTCCCCCATCCCAATAGTGAACTTGAAAAGCTCCAAGCAGGTATAATACAGACTGTTGTAGGACGTGCGGCTTCGTTTCATATGGCAGCATCGGGAATATTCAGAGCTATTTGTCTCTTGCCCCTCATTGTCATCTTCAATTAAAGTCACCACAGCTGTTGCAAAAGAGGAATCACGTATGCAGGATGAAAATACAATTTGAGATCATAATTCCATTGCAAGCAATGAAAATGAGCGTAAAGGTAAGACGTGTTGTCTTTGTGGTGCATTGTCCCCAGTGAAATTGCTCTATAAAATATTCCCCATAACCGACACCCTCTCAGAAGGTGGTGTCTTGGTTTTATCTATATAGAACAAGATGACTGTTCTTCCATTCAGCTTTGCAAAACAGTTTGAGACCCAGGGATGAAAAGCTATGTGAAATTACTATACATAATTATTAATCTGAAGAGATATTTTTGTAATTAGTTTAATTTGTTAGCTTTTAGTTGGAAACAAAAAGTTTAAGTCTCTTGAAAAATTACATTTTCTGAGATTCTTTAAGATAAGAAAAAAATCACTCAAAGGATGGTATTACCTGTAGAAAATCCCAAAAGGAATACCAGATAGACAAACATGAAGCGACATAAATCTCTAAGGATCATCTGTAACACGAAAACAATATTTTTATATTGCTAAAATTTAAATATAAAGCTCAACAAAAACTGGTAGAAAATACTTCTTCAGCTCAAGAAGGCATTTGCTATGAACTGGCTGTTCATGCATTAAACTGTTGCTTATCCTGCTGAGATAATAAACTTTAATACAGGAAACATTTTTCTCTGTTATTCATGCAAGAGTTTATACACATATGCAAGACATATGTACACCAAATAGTTTCATCTTGGTGAGTATAAACAACATGAAGACAGTTGCATCTTTGTTCCCCTCTTGGGTTTGCTGGCTACATCATATATAGGGGTTTATTAGCCAGCTACTGCCTGTCAGCTAATTGTTCTGTTTGGTAACATTTAAACTGTACCTAAAGAAATTTACAGCTGGTAGAAAGCTGTGCCATTTCACACCAGTCTGCACTGTTTTCAGTCTACTTTCGTCCACACCTACCCAACTGTAGTAATTTTGAAATGCACCAGGTAATATTAATATGAACACCGCTATATAAAATGTATGGATGAGGAGCAGGAGGCTTTTCTACATAACTGAAATTGTATCACTTCACTCAGAAAATAATGGCCAAGGATGTTAGAGTGATATGAGATTTCCCAGTGGCATCATGGGGGAAAATATGTCAGTTTCTCTCCTGGAAATGGGGCTGTTGGTAGCAGTGTCCTGCTGCTCCCATCTCTTACTCACTGGACTAACCTTGGCAATCATGACAGAGTAAATGCCCATCTGCTGGAAGCCACGGGTGTAGTACAGCATGTTAGCCCAGCCCAGTGCCAAGGAGAAGACCATGGAAGCCACGTACAGTTCCTGGCCACAGAAGTACAGCACCACAGAGCTCAGGAGGAGCAAGGAGTGAACAAAGCTGAAAGACAAGCAGGGTCTGAATGCAGAGTGCCGAGCTGGCCACAGGTGGTGGGAACAGAGGAGCCCCATGAAGTACACAGCAGAATGAGGGATTCTCTAAAACACAAAGGAGCCTTGGCAGACACTTCCTCTCTTCCCTTTATTCCTTCCCTTCTCAAACCCTACAGTTCCTCTTTCAAACTCCCCACAGAGTTTCCCCACATACAAACTTCTGTAGTCTACCCCTGCTCTTACTTGTGACTGGAGGGAAGAAAAGCTCTTGAAAACACTTGTTTCCTCAGCATTCCCTCTCTTTCCATGGACCCATGAAATCACCCTGTTTAGCTGCACTCCAGCTGGGAAGAGAAAGGGCCCAAATTACAGAGAGGCAAAGCTCCCTTCAGGAATGGGAGGATTTCTGCACATCCAGTGCATAGAATCAATTGCAAGTCCAACCTGGAGATCTATTCCTAACCCTGCTGCTTGACACTGAACTCCTAGATACTTCATTTGCTCTACCTCCAAAGGAGGTTACTGATCCAAACCCCCCAAGTGCTATGATATCCACTGGCAAGTATTTCGCCAGGAGATCCAAGAAATTATAGCAAAGCATCTACCTACTACAAGTGGCTTCAGCCAAAGCTACAGATCTCACACACTCATCCATTTCATGCTGAGATGCAATCAAAGATATCGGAGCTTACAAAAGAACCTCACTGTAGCTGTCAACTACCAGTGTCTTGAATGATGGGCGTCTCTGCACGAAATACTGTATCTGAAAAAAAACAAACAGGAATGAAGACCAGGTTTGCATCCAAGGATGAAGTATCCCATACGAATGCATCAACTAAGCACCTATACCCATACAAGGGGGCTGGTACCTATAAAGCATCTCACAAGACCAGCTCAAAAACAACACCGGCACAAGATCTAGGGAAGACTCTTCCAGTAACACTAGACTTCTCTTACATCTGGTGTCTCTTTTGAAGACAACCACCTACTCAGTCACTGTTTGAGGACCTGTGATTCACTGTACACTCTCCATTGGCTGCCAAGAGGAAGCAGAAAATCACTCAAAGGATGGTATTACCTGTAGAAAATCCCAAAAGGAATACCAGATAGACAAACATGAAGCGACATAAATCTCTAAGGATCATCTGTAACACGAAAACAATATTTTTATATTGCTAAAATTTAAATATAAAGCTCAACAAAAACTGGTAGAAAATACTTCTTCAGCTCAAGAAGGCATTTGCTATGAACTGGCTGTTCATGCATTAAACTGTTGCTTATCCTGCTGAGATAATAAATACAGGAAACATTTTTCTCTGTTATTCATGCAATAGTTTATACACATATGCAAGACATATGTACGCCAAATAGTTTCATCTTGGTGAGTATAAACAACATGAAGACAGTTGCATCTTTGTTCCCCTCTTGGGTTTGCTGGCTACATCATATATAGGGGTTTATTAGCCAGCTACTGCCTGTCAGCTAATTGTTCTGTTTGGTAACATTTAAACTGTACCTAAAGAAATTTACAGCTGGTAGAAAGCTGTGCCATTTCACATCAGACCAGTCTGCGCTGTTTTCAGTCTACTTTCGTCCACACCTACATGCAATAGTTTATACACATATGCAAGACATATGTACGCCAAATAGTTTCATCTTGGTGAGTATAAACAACATGAAGACAGTTGCATCTTTGTTCCCCTCTTGGGTTTGCTGGCTACATCATATATAGGGGTTTATTAGCCAGCTACTGCCTGTCAGCTAATTGTTCTGTTTGGTAACATTTAAACTGTACCTAAAGAAATTTACAGCTGGTAGAAAGCTGTGCCATTTCACACCAGTCTGCACTGTTTTCAGTCTACTTTCGTCCACACCTACCCAACTGTAGTAATTTTGAAATGCACCAGGTAATATTAATATGAACACCGCTATATAAAATGTATGGATGAGGAGCAGGAGGCTTTTCTACATAACTGAAATTGTATCACTTCACTCTGCGGACAGTGTTAGTGCACTCAGAGAAGCACTCCAAAGGTGAAGTTTTGCTTCCCTTTACCAGATACTTGAATGTTATTTGTCTATAAAAGATTGCTCATTTGACATACAAACAGCTTACCTAAAGCACCATCTGTAATCATCTTGGCCGTCAGGTGTGACCCCCACCAAGACTCTCTTACCAGACCGGAACGAGCGCCTCACACAGTTCAAGTAGCTGTTTTCAATATCCAAGGTTGTGATGGCTCTCTGCCAGGTAAAAGAAATCAGACCACTGAGAAGTTGTTTCAAAGTCATACAGATCCTGAATTCTGCCTATGTTTCAAAAACCTTGAGCTTTTATCACTGTCACCATTTTAGAGCAGGTATCGTAACCACCTCTGAAACATCACCCTCTGTTAATATGTCATTAAAAAACTGAATTACTGCCTGTACTTAGAACTATGAAGTTCCCTTTCTTACTTCAAACGAAAAGCGATGTTCCTTTGAGATTCTGGTAAAGAGTGTTTTCCCCCTTGCATAATCCCTGTCTCCATAGTCTGACCAGGACTTTCCACCACTGAAACCCCAAGTAATTCTGTCTAATTAGAAAAGTACTACTTTTCTTAAATTCTGAACATCTGTGGAACACTGGGAACATCTGCTCAGGCAAAACATCAAACATGCACGGAAAAAGAACCAATACACTTTTTTAAGGAACTGTTCAGGGGAATCAGAAGGAAGCAGTGACTTGTTATTTAGAATGTTCCTGAACATTCTCTCTGAAATTTATGATTCTCCATACCCTTTCTTGGATAGCAGCCTCACAGAACGAATATACCTGGAGTTTCCAGATGCTCTTGCTCTCCTGTGCAATTTTGCTCACAGTTTCCCCCATCAGTGCAATCAGCATGTTGAGCAGGAGGATGTAGGTAAGGATGACATAGAGAACCAGAAGGATGACGAACACAGACTTGAACCTGTAGTTCTCTGTGAACTCCAGGTCCCCCATCCCAATAGTGAACTTGAAAAGCTCCAAGCAGGTATAATACAGACTGTTGTAGGACGTGCGGCTTCGTTTCATATGGCAGCATCGGGAATATTCAGAGCTATTTGTCTCTTGCCCCTCATTGTCATCTTCAATTAAAGTCACCACAGCTGTTGCAAAAGAGGAATCACGTATGCAGGATGAAAATACAATTTGAGATCATAATTCCATTGCAAGCAATGAAAATGAGCATAAAGGTAAGACGTGTTGTCTTTGTGGTGCATTGTCCCCAGTGAAATTGCTCTATAAAATATTCCCCATAACTGACACCCTCTCAGAAAGTGGTATCTTGGTTCTATCTATATAGAACAAGATGACTGTTCTTCCATTCAGCTTTGCAAAACAGTTTGAGACCCAGGGATGAAAAGCTATGTGAAATTACTATACATAATTATTAATCTGAAGAGATATTTTTGTAATTAGTTTAATTTGTTAGCTTTTAGTTGGAAACAAAAAGTTTAAGTCTCTTGAAAAATTACATTTTCTGAGATTCTTTAAGATAAGAAAAAATCACTCAAAGTATGGTATTACCTGTAGAAAATCCCAAAAGGAATACCAGATAGACAAACATGAAGCGACATAAATCTCTAAGGATCATCTGTAACACGAAAACAATATTTTTATATTGCTAAAATTTAAATATAAAGCTCAACAAAAACTGGTAGAAAATACTTCTTCAGCTCAAGAAGGCATTTGCTATGAACTGGCTGTTCACGCATTAAACTGTTGCTTATCCTGCTGAGATAATAAACTTTAATACAGGAAACATTTTTCTCTGTTATTCATGCAAGAGTTTATACACATATGCAAGACATATGTACACCAAATAGTTTCATCTTGGTGAGTATAAACAACACGAAGACAGTTGCGTCTTTGTTCCCCTCTTGGGCTTGCTGGCTACATCATATATAGGGGTTTATTAGCCAGCTACTGCCTCTCAGCTAATTGCTCTGTTTGGTAACATTTAAACTGTACCTAAAGAAATTTCCAGCTGGTAGAAAGCTGTGCCATTTCACATCAGACCAGTCTGCGCTGTTTTCAGTCTACTTTCGTCCACACCTACCCAACTGTAGTAATTTTGAAACGCACCAGGTAATATTAATATGAAAACTGCTATATAAAATGTATGGATGAGGAGCAGGAGGCTTTTCTACATAACTGAAATTGTATCACTTCACTCAGAAAATAATGGCCAAGGATGTTAGAGTGATATGAGATTTCCCAGTGGCATCATGGGGGAAAATATGTCAGTTTCTCTCCTGGAAATGGGGCTGTTGGTAGCAGTGTCCTGCTGCTCCCATCTCTTACTCACTGGACTAACCTTGGCAATCATGACAGAGTAAATGCCCATCTGCTGGAAGCCACGGGTGTAGTACAGCATGTTAGCCCAGCCCAGTGCCAAGGAGAAGACCATGGAAGCCACGTACAGTTCCTGGCCACAGAAGTACAGCACCACAGAGCTCAGGAGGAGCAAGGAGTGAACAAAGCTGAAAGACAAGCAGGGTCTGAATGCAGAGTGCCGAGCTGGCCACAGGTGGTGGGAACAGAGGAGCCCCATGAAGTACACAGCAGAATGAGGGATTCTCTAAAACACAAAGGAGCCTTGGCAGACACTTCCTCTCTTCCCTTTATTCCTTCCCTTCTCAAACCCTACAGTTCCTCTTTCAAACTCCCCACAGAGTTTCCCCACATACAAACTTCTGTAGTCTACCCCTGCTCTTACTTGTGACTGGAGGGAAGAAAAGCTCTTGAAAACACTTGTTTCCTCAGCATTCCCTCTCTTTCCATGGACCCATGAAATCACCCTGTTTAGCTGCACTCCAGCTGGGAAGAGAAAGGGCCCAAATTACAGAGAGGCAAAGCTCCCTTCAGGAATGGGAGGATTTCTGCACATCCAGTGCATAGAATCAATTGCAAGTCCAACCTGGAGATCTATTCCTAACCCTGCTGCTTGACACTGAACTCCTAGACACTTCATTTGCTCTACCTCCAAAGGAGGTTACTGATCCAAACCCCCCAAGTGCTATGATATCCACTGGCAAGTATTTCGCCAGGAGATCCAAGAAATTATAGCAAAGCATCTACCTACTACAAGTGGCTTCAGCCAAAGCTACAGATCTCACACACTCATCCATTTCATGCTGAGATGCAATCAAAGATATCGGAGCTTACAAAAGAACCTCACTGTAGCTGTCAACTACCAGTGTCTTGAATGATGGGCGTCTCTGCACGAAATACTGTATCTGAAAAAAAACAAACAGGAATGAAGACCAGGTTTGCATCCAAGGATGAAGTATCCCATACGAATGCATCAACTAAGCACCTATACCCATACAAGGGGGCTGGTACCTATAAAGCATCTCACAAGACCAGCTCAAAAACAACACCGGCACAAGATCTAGGGAAGACTCTTCCAGTAACACTAGACTTCTCTTACATCTGGTGTCTCTTTTGAAGACAACCACCTACTCAGTCACTGTTTGAGGACCTGTGATTCACTGTACACTCTCCATTGGCTGCCAAGAGGAAGCAGAGGGACTTTAAACTAAGACGGCTCATCTTAATAGAGACCTGGCTATTTGCAATACCTCATTCTTAAACTTTGGCCAGGCTAACTGCTGAGAAGCTCATTGACTTCAAAGACAGCCTTTTTTTATACAATAGATAAAACTGTATCTTAGCCTGTGGGCTCATTAGTAACCTGAGAGCTCCTCATCAGGCCAAGGAAAAAGATTTGTAGCTCTTGACTAAAACATGAATTATCTTAGCAGCCAATGCTAATGAATAGGAAAGGCATGTTTGAGTCTCCCTTATGCCTACCCAAACAGCAAGAAGGAAAAATCAAATATCTTACCCCTCTGAAAAAAAAATAGAGACCTCCCAGTACACTCACGATCTCTCCAGTCACTCGAAAATATTCCCCAGTGCTGTGACCAAACGTGAAGGGAGGCTGTATAAGACAGGAACATAGATATGTTCAGCAGAACTGGGGATAGGAAAGACCTGGCCTTGCCAGCAGCTGAAAGCTACTACATTTTTAGGGGAACAGGTTAAGTTTCTGAATGTGTTGCAGCAAGGGGACAAGACTAGGAAACAAAGAGGGTCAAAATCTCCCTCCCACCTTCAGAAAAGAGGAAAATGCTAATGTTAGGAGGACACATTCAAATGGGAGGGAGATCTGGAATATCATGCACTAGGTGTTCCCCCTGATATATGACTGGAGGAACATACCTTTTCCTCCTTCTCTACAGGTCTGTAGTAAGCAGCCGCAGTGAGGATGATGATATGCATGGTATAGACAAAGAAGTTGAAGTAAAATAAGTGTTTGACAAACCGGTCCCACTTGTCTTGCAGCAGCCTGTTAAGGGGTTCCACCAGCAGCATCTCATGACGGTTCTGAGAGGAAGGAGAAAGAGAAGAATCTTGATGGGATCAGTACGTACTGGGCTTTGAGAACAGCAAATGATGCTCATCTTCAGCAAGTGTTGCCTCTAATACCCCTAAGCTCAGGAACAGATTCTGTTTTATAGGAAAGAGGCAAATAATGCACTGTGTGGAACATGGAGCTCTTCCCTAGCAGTGCCCCAGCCTGTGAATAAAATGCCAAGGAGGTGCATACTCACTGGTGTTTCACTGCTGTAGGCAATAATCTCAAGCACTGAATTTTTCTCACATGTGTCTATACAGGACAGGTCATAGAGAGACGAGTGGACAGGTCCGTATGCCCATTCAGTGAACTTCCTAGACAAGTGTCTGCACTCAGGATCTTTAATCTCTCGTCTGAGGATGTAAGCGAAAATCTAATTGCAAAAGAACAATACAACCAACATTTCAGTGTTAATGGACTTCTAATTCCTCAGTGTCTCCACAAAACAGGACGTCTAATTTCTCTCTAGTTTAACTGTGCTGAAGTCAAACCACTGGAGTGCTACAGAGATCAAAGTTTGAAGTAAACACAATTAATTTTCTCACTGGTTGCTGGGAGATAAGAAATACAGGTTACAACTTGCCATTTTCTGTTTCACAACTGCAAGAGAAAAGCAGAGGTGTATGTTACACATCTCTGAGCATACAGTTATTTTGAATGGAGACTGCCAGAAGATGAGCTGTATCAGCCAGACAAAAGTACAAAGCTTCCAGTGGTTCAGATAATAGCAGAGACCCACTTTCTGCTCCTACTTGGGCTGCCTTGTGTACCAGTGGAACAGGAGTAATAATGATGCCAGCTGGGCACAGATATGCACACACAGTTTGTAGTCTTTCAAGACTATGCAGTTTTGCATGTTAAACTGCAGCATCAGACCATCTTAACTAAAATGCTCTAACAATAAACAGTGATAAAATTTGTCCTGCATAAATGTTTTGCATGTACTCTGTATAACTTGGTAACAGCAAGGGCACAGTTAAACACATTTGCTCACCTACCCCTATCTTCCCTGTTTTGGCTGCCAGAGTTAATGGAGTCAGCCCTTTCTTGTTGGTGAGTTCTTCCAGTTTCAGGATTGGATTAATTTTGGCACCAAGGATCAATATGTTATTGTACATCTTGGTAACAAACTTGGTATTATCCTTAGTATTATCTGCGATCTCCACGAGTGTATGCAGGACTGTATTGCCCATGGAGTCCACAGCAGCGATGTTGGCTGGCTGGTAGGGGTTCTCCAGGAGGAATTTCACGATGCAGAGCTGGTTGGTGCAGGCAGCCAGGGACAAAGGCAGCTCCCCTATGGGCAAGCAACAGCAATGTGGTCAGAAATCCCATTACTATACATGCATAAATAGAAAGAAGATCATGTTGTTTTCATCTTTCACCATGAGAAGTGGATTTCTCAATCTGATATAGCACCAATTCCTGTGATCGCTGTTAGAATCACATTTTCTTTGGTTTAACTGCATCACAGAAACATGGTTACTTAAACAAGCACTGAAAGGACACCTAACAGAAGGTTACAAACTTTCAAAGGATACAGTGCCCAGAAAACAAAGGGATGCAGATATCAAGCTCACACTGAACACCATCAACTACCAACTGTGTTTCTTTATAATTTCAGCCTTTGGGAGTAATTATTTGGACTAAGTGGTGGAACAGCCCATCTGGTACTTCTGAGCCTCCAGTTCCCCCCCCCCCAGGATTATTTAACAGCTGGCACTTAGGATAACACTAGGATAACTCAATCAATAAAGCCCGTACTGTGCTCACCCCTACCGAAATAAAAGCCAGGTTTCCCTTTGATTTTCCTGAAGAACTCCCCACAGGCTCTTGCATGAACATCTGCTCCATTCTGGACCAAGAGCTTCACCAGGTACATGTTCCTTCTCTCAATGGCGATGTGAAGTGCAGTCTGGCCTACAGAGACACTCATCAGACAGAAATCTTCAATATTCAATACAGACTCAGAGCTTTCAGGTACCACAACTCACTCAGCTCCATGTAAGATGGTAGAATTGAGAGCTTTTCAGACTAGAAAGCTCTAGAATTGAACAAAAAAAAGATAGCATAGAACAGAAAGTACAAGTCCCCTGAACTGGCTATTAAACCACTTTATATCAAAACTGGCAGAATTTTGCCCCTAACAAAGCACTGCCCTCGCATGAACGCGCTGATTGTTAATCACACTCTGGAACTTTGGGGTGCTGCATCCTCAGGCACAAGGCTTCATGCAGAAGACTATCTGTGAGCCCCATCTAACCCTATCTTCAGTCTCAGCACCAAGAGTATTCACTATCGCAGCCACTTCTCTTACCCTTGTAGTAGTTGTCAGTATACTCTGCATTAACAAACTCTTTCAGAGTCCCAGTTTTCCTTGCAATATCCAGCAGCAAGGGAATGGCCTCGTTCTTCCCATCATGTAGATTCAGCATGGCTTTCAGTAAGCAGGTTTTCCCCGTTTCTGGCTCTGGAACACAAAAAGATTGCAGCTATATGGAAGTGATCACAAACCTACCGCTTACTCCCAGGCATGCAGGAATGAATGAGGCTCTTTTCAAAAGACAAGAGAATTTATTCAGGGATTCACATAAAATTTCAACTTTTCTGAGTTCTTTGGTAACCTTGCAATCAATGGGTTGCACAACCAATAGGGATGTATCGGCTATTACAGCACCTCCTGCAGACAACACAATTACATTTTCTTATTTTCATCTCAATTCTTTGGTAACGTTGCAATCAATGGGTTGTGCAATCAATAGGGATGTATTGGCTATTACAGCACCTCCTGCAGACACTTAACACAATTACATTTTCTTATTTTCATCTCAGGAGCACTGCTGGAAGAAGACAAAGGCAACTTAAGGTATGTTGACACTAAAGGGTACCTTTGAACTCATCATCTGTGAGATGCTTCAAGGTTCTATTAAGATAGAGTAGCAGATCATCCAGGTCCCTTGTGTTGCCTTGGGCTACAGCATCAAAGATCCTTCTGCGGTCATAAAATTTGAAAGCTTTTTCTGAGCAGCCTGTGATGGAATCTGTAGATAGGAGCCTAACAAAGGTAAATTTCAGTTACTTAAAGTCAGGTATTTAGCAGGCTTTTTATAAACTACCAGAATGCTATTTTTCATTTGCTTGTGTGAAGTAGTAAGCACTACAAATTAGTATAGATGGATCTGCAGAGTCTGCAAGATGAACAAAGTCTGCAAGATCAACAAAGTCTGCAAGATCAACAAAGTCTGCAAGCAACTGTCCTGATAAAATCATATGTTTGTTGCTGAAAAATTGAGAACAAGACTCAAAAGAGGCATTGAAGTATGACAGTCCAACTGCAGGCTTGGGCACCAGGCAATCCCGTGTTCACATGACGAGTCATGTCCACTCACTGAACAGTCTCAAACAAGTGAATTAAGGCCTACCACTAATTTTGGGTAAGATACCCACGGACTCAATTTTCAGAGATGCCAAGAGACAAGAGCTATTGTCACCTTCACATGCAACACTATTTTGTCATAGAAAACAGTGAAATTGAACAAAATGTGTATGCTCACGTGGAGAGAATAAATGCTCCTCTAAGAAACACAGTCTGCAGCTGTCAAATTGTTCATTACAACCAGATCTTACAATGCAAACTTACTTGTGAAGTTTCCCCCTCTCCAAATTGGCATGAAATTTGATGACAGAAGGTGCCATCAGGTGATCCATCTGGTAAAAGGAGTCCATGGGAGCCATATCCTTGTCACTGTCCCCCATCACAAACCGCCCACGTCTTGCAAAGATGTTGCTTTTGGGGGGCTGCACCTTGGTGCTGACTGTACCCTGGAGGCTGTCAGGTGTTTCCAGTGTGGAGTCCTCTCCATCTGTGTGTTCATCTGTCACTTCAGATTCCTCCATGTCAGAACTGCCAAATTTCTTCATCTTCCCAAGAATGGAAGACATGATGAGCAGGCAGTCTGTGAGGAACAACACAAACACCTTAAGTCAGCACTTTATAGAGCCAAACAACAGGGAACGGATTGGTTGCTCTCATCCCAGAAGCAAGATGGACAGATACTCACTATCCTGGAGTTGGACCAGTTCAGTAGGTCATTACCTTCACGCTAGTCATTACTGTCCCCACTGCCCTTGACCATTTCAGAATGGAGAAAGCAAGCCAGAGTGTCCAAGAGCTTCCCAGCCATCTCACTGCAGAGCTGACCAGTTCTGCTTAAAACTAGTGCCTCATCCTCCTCCAGCCCTTGTCAAAGCCCGAACAATCTCAAACCCTGAACAATTTCTGGTTTCTTTCTCTACTTTCTGTTTTATGCCACAACATATTCTCCGAAGTATTTCAGGCATGCAAAAAAAGCCTGCTTGTGCCATAACGATATCTCAGTGATGCTGAGCAGAGAGAGCTTCCTGCATATAGGAAAAATAGCACTTCATGGCTATTCAGAGTTACAGCAGTGCTAGATGAGAACTGGGGCATGTGATTCTTGGGAGATTAGTGTCACCTCAAATGTGAGACACGGAAACAGAAAGGGGAAGGTTACAACAGATAAGAGATGACTGCAAGACCACAGATCTTGTTTGATTTACAACCACAAAGAATTTCACACAAGTTAACAAATACACTGTGCTGATAGTAGAGCAGGCTTTTTTTTTTTTTTTTTTTTTTTAATCAGACAAATGCTGGTCTTCATGCCGCTGAATGCAAAATATCCTGGAACTGCAGCAGTGGAGACAGGAATGCATCGTATTTGAACTGCTGCACAGCTGGCTTTTAGAGAGAGCTGAACAGCCGTAGAAACATACTTTGAAATCCTAGATTACTTTTGAGCTTTGAGCATGCTTTGAGCACAGGAGTGTTACAAAATCTCTAAAAAGTCTTCAACTATAAACCAAATTACAGGGGTCAGTAATGTTCTCTGTACATTCAGTGTGAAAACAACATTAAAAATGCTTCAAAGCTGTTTCTCTTCACAAAAATATTCTGAGGGGTTGTCTGCAAACCTACACTGTACATTAAAACTAGATATTTAGTTCTACGGGACTAGTTAATATTCAAATTAAGTGTTACTTACATTTTCCTGTGCAAGTAGGATAGGAAAGAACCTTTTGTCAGGCATTTGCACTTTCTATAATTTCGTACAACATAGATGTAAAGAAAACTTCAATTTGCAAACTTGCATATTTAGGGTTATTGGAAGCAAAACAGCATAGTATAGATGAAATACTAATGACTACAGTTTAACTTGCTCTGCCCTCTGAGCTCACTCTCAAGTCCTTTGTGTCCTTAGAATCACTCTGAAAGAATAACATAATAACTTATTAACTTAATTGTTCTATAAATAAGAAATTATAGATTAAAAAATATTTCCATTTGGAATACGATACTAAAAGAACTGAAGAACAATTAATTCAGCAAAAAAGTTATAAAAATAGCTTTACAGTAAATGGAAAAAAATACACTGGGAATATAGCCATGTATAATTTTAATTTTTTGTCTTATTTAAATTAATGTTGATTGAGCCAAAAACATCAGAGAAACGGCTATGGAAAATGGAATCACTCATTTTCCACAGAATAGGTGCAATATTAAAATCCGCAGAATAGACTCAATCCTGTCTCTCTGGCAATTTGCTCAAACTTGATTTAGTCATTATATGTGCTTTTATTTCTAAACCCTGTTGATAATACCTTTGATAACGAAGACAAAGCTGCATTTCCTCATGAGTATCAATTTGCAAGGGAAATAACCTCAAAATTCTGTAGAAGGATTCTTTAAAAAAAATAAATATTATCTATCCTAAAAAATGTATGACCTACTCGAACTCTTTGAATCCTATGCACAATGAAGTTTGATACACTAAATAAGGGAATATTTTTGACAGAATGTCTAACCACATCACAATTTAGAATAAACCTACAGAGAGTTTACAAATAAGTAACAACCATGCTATTCAAATATACATGCAGAACTTACAAATATTCCAAAAAACCACTTCTTCCGCAAAACAGTCCACTGTCAGTAAACACCTTCTGATCTATAGGAATTTGGTGCCAGATATTCCTCCTCCAAGGTGCCTGGACTGAAAAGCACTCAGTTTGCTTCTCCACTTCATTTGTCTGTAAAAGTGTTCTATGTGTCTGATGATTTTAGAATCAAGGGAAGTTCACTAGAAGAACAGGGAATAGAATAAGATCATTAAGAACCATTCTGGAACCAGAAGCATCAGTAGCTTCTATTCCCAGGAGTTTAGCAAAGCTCTTTACAATAATTGCAGTAAGTTGCTGTTGTTTTTCCCCTCCCCTTTAATTGCATTTAGTAATGGACACTCTTCTCCAGATTTCCTCTTCACAAATACACTCAAGCCTGAAAAAAAACCCCAAACCACCAGACAACAATTGTTTCTGCAGGTCACAGTTTCATGTCAATTTACAAAACTTTGTAAAATACGCCACAGCTCTTCTCTGAGATCATTTATCTTTCTGGACATCTTTCTTGGGTGACTGCTGTAAAGCCCCACCAAGTATTTTAAAGATAAGCCAATTCTGAACAGAGTTGAGGGAGAACCAATTACAGAAAGTCCTTAAGACCATTCTATCATTCCATGTTCCTATTATGTTTTATTTAAATAATATATATATGTAATGTCAAATTTTAAATATTAATGTCATTAGAAAAAAAAAGTTCTTATCTAATCCAGGATGGATCTGACACCCTTTAAAAATGAAGAACTGTGTCATATATTGTTAAATACACCATTTACATAAGATCTTTCTGCCAAAAACTAGTCTAGAGAAACAGCTTTTCCAGCAGGCTGAGCATATAGGCTGTGGCTGTTAGGCTAGAAGCAATCTCCAAACCTCTAGCTCCTGAAGTTTCAAGTTAGATCATTAAATTATTCAATTAAATTATCCAGCTTAATTTGCAAAAGGTAACTATATTCCTAGTCTTGCCATCTATTTATCTGTGTATAAAAGAATAATATATTTGCCTATTTCATAGGAAACTAATTATACTACTTAAAACACCCAATGGCATTGTACTCAGATAAAATGCCTATTTATTAATGCATAAGTATAGATTACCAATGAGCCAGGTCCTTAGCTGGTGCTCCTGGAGCTTTACAGAGCAGAGCATCTCCTTCAACATCAACTCCTTCACCATTTCCAAAGCAGACACGCAGAAAGAAAACTACATGGATCAGTGGAATGTCTTCCTTATCTCTACCTTCTTGTTGGTCCCTTTGGCTAAATTCTCCTTCTCCCATTGCAGGCATCAGCTCCTTTCAGTCTCACTGTGCTCCAGTGTACACACTTCAGGAGCTTTCTGCTGTTTTCTGAGTTTTGATGCTGCCTTGACCTGTATTTCTTGTGAAAACGTTATTTCCTTCCTCCCAGCAGCACTCCATGGCTTTTTGCAACGGTTGTTGGACGTATCATATTCCATCTCAGCAGGGACCTGGTTTAAAGGTGTAAGCTTATAAGGAGATGTGAATACTTATCAAAATAGGCCAGTAATAAACAAGGAGGAATTTATTCCTTTTTCTTGGGCCTGCATCCAACATGCTGCATAGGCTTTGTGCAAATTCTGTGCTTGAGAGTGATTTTACCAACTAAAAGCTCTCTCCATCACTGCAAATGGAAATAACATCAGCAGATGTGCTAGAGATCTTAAAGATGTATCCAAAGGTGCAGGTCAGAGATAGTCTTACCTTTGCTAATGGAACCTAAAACCAGGCCACAATTTTACCAGCTTCTGGAAAAAAAAAACATCACTTGATTTCACAGTTATCAGCACGCTGGAATACTATCATCAGCTCTTTCCAGTTATTCAGTAAAAATGAAAGAAGACCTGCTGATGCAAAAATATTTTTAATAACATAAAAGGGAAAACAACACATAACAAATTCAGACTTTTTCAAAACCTTTACTCTAGTCTACACTTTCTCTGTAATTCCTATATACACCAATAGTTCCCTAAACACAGCATGGAATAGATACATGAAGTGAGGGTAGAAGAAGATGGAAATTAATCTGTCTCTGTAATTAAGATCTCAGAACAGCTTTCTCACTACAAAAATGAGTCAGCCCTGACATTGCTGCTGTGCAAGATAAGAATACACTTCCATATTTCTGTTGAAATACATGCTTTTAAGTAATGAAGTTGTATCTAGATAACATGAAACTATCTTACTTCCCAATCTCATTTGAGCAAAAAAGGTGTACTTCCATTTTGGCTTAGAGAGATAAGATGCTTTATAAATGTTTTCACCTTAAAATAGAGTAGGGGGAAAAATAAATTTTAAGAGCATAACACAGGGGACAAGAACTTAGAAATTTTAAGGAAATTTGCCTGAACAATACTTAAAATTAAAAACGGATGAGAGTCTAGCCTGGCAGCTGCCGTATTAAAACTTAATTTGACACTATACATGAAAAGCAGAATCAGAAACACGTGTGGATCAAATCCACTAAAACAGCCACACTTTATGTTACAAGAACAAATTCTTTTTGTGGACCATCTCTCAAAATGCTAATTGTGGGAGTTTGCCAGCTCCTCCAGTTTATCACAAATTCTGACCATTTCAGAGGCCCTGATCCACTCTACCACCCAAAACCCAAACATAAAAATACTTCTGCATGGCAAATAAGGAAAACAGTTACCTCCCACCATATGAATGTATTTTCCACTCGGACATAAGCCCTGCATTCCAGACTTCTCCAGTCACAGCACTGGCCTAGCCATGCCTTTGACCATAGTCCATGGCACCCGACCTGGGTAGCCGCAGAAAGAACTCTCCGTGTTTTATTTTGATTGTTTCTTTTGATACAAGCCAAGGTTGTATTCCATCTTGTCCAGAGACAGCACACATCTGAAAACTGCCATTCATTCTGTGCAACAGCCACTGAACTCCCCAAGCAAGGTTGAGATCCTGGTCTGCTGCCTATATGTATGTATATTGCGAGACAGCTTAAGGCCAAGTCGTCTTTAATGAAAGCATCAGACTAAGTTACAGACAGCTACTCATCTCTCCTAGCCCATCTAAACATATTTCCTAGCAGGAAAATGAGCATGAAGTATCATTTTATGCAGAAAGTTAATGGATCTTTCCTAGTCACTCAGTCAAATTTAATGTAATAATTACTTCTCATTTCACAAATGGAAATGACAGACCAGTGAAATGCGTACACCCAGAAGCAGACATTAAATGCAAGCTTTTATTTTCCACTGTAACAAGTGAGACAGCACGTTGCATAAAACTCCAGAAAAAGTTAAGAAAGTGAAAGGAAAAAGTGTACAGCCAGGAAAAAAAAAAAAAAAAAAGAGCTCCATCTCAGGCCATTCCAAACAATGACTTTATATTCTGTGGAACATCATCATGGCAGCCCCCACAGCAGCATCAACATCCTTCCCGTAAACCACAGGGAATGGAAAAATCCTTTCCACTTCCTGCCGCAGCACCTCGTTCCTGGCAAGGGCACTCCCGCTCCCCAGCACCCTCCTCACTCCCGTCTCCATCAGGCGCTGCACAGGCAACATGGAACAGAGGTTTTCAACGACGCCACGGCACAGAGCTCTGGTTACGTGACCCAGGGAGAGGTCAGAGACAGCAATATTGGTCACTGATGCCAACTGCTCGGGAAGGTGTCTCTCTCCAAATATGGTTGGGTGGATTGAGAGTTTGCTGTCGTTTTGGGCCAAGGCTGCTTTGATTATCTTTGTATAGATGGCAGGCTCCTGAACCTGAAGGCCTGCAAGGGGGAAATATCATGCACGTTACAAATCTGAAGGGGTCTAGTGTATTTCATGTGTAATCCATCCGTTCAGCAAGATATGATTTATTTTTTTTCCTGTCCCAAAGATAATTGTTTTTCCAGGATCATGAAACATAATTCTCCCATCCAATTGTATCTAGTATCTGTGACACAGATACTAGATACAACTTTCTGGTTACAGAAACTGGCTTTTCTGATAATACAGCTATTCCTCTTTGCTTACACTGTCCTAAGTTACATCAACCAACATCTTTAAAGGCACTAATGGCAGACTTCAGCTTCAGTGGCTGGATTGCATGTGAATGCAGAATTCACTCCAAGTGCTCCCTGAAAGAACAATTTCAGAGCTTATTTCTGTATTGCAAAACCCAAGAGATCATTAAAAAAACCTGTGAAGACCATGCTTAAAGCACTTAAAAGACATTACATGAGTTTCAGTCTTAAAATCCATTAGAGTGCTGCAAAATATGCAGTAAAAGGCAACTGATCTAATCAAGAGACTCTTTTGGACTGGAGTCATACAAAATTAGAAGCTGTCCTCAAAGTTGCT